AAAAAAAAAAAAAAGAATTACCTGGGTGTGGGAGAATTAAATATGCAAATTCTGGGGACCTATGGGAAAGGGTCACTTTCCCTCTGCCACTGAGTGTGTGCCCTCAATCTGGGGGGCACGAGGCACTCTGAGCACACTGGGATCTGCCAGCACAGAGCCAGGAAAGCAAGCTTCCATGGTCATACCCATGGCAGTCCTGTCTAGGGTGAAACCAGGCTGCCCATGTCCAGCAGTATAGACAGGCTCTGACTGTGTGTGGCTACTTCAAAAATTGTATGGAAACATGGAATTAAAAATTTACTTTGGTGCAAAAAATGTTGAAATCCATGCATGGTTTTTTCCTAGTAGACACTCTTGTGAACTTTTAAAATCAGGATGCTTTGTACAGTCCTCTGGAGATGGGAACCAGACAATATTTTCAATAGAAATGTTGTTCCTCATTGCAGGGGGGGCGGATGGTCCCCAGGTTAGTCCCCAGGTACTGTGAGACCCATTGCAGAGCTGGGTGTTGGCACACCTGCTTTGCCAGAGGGGCAGTACAATGGGGAAGGGAGGAGGAGGAGGAAGAAGATAGAGGGATTTATTCCCTTAGGAAGGCTTAAGGCATAAAGTCAGGCTGCAGCTCCTTTTTGAGTGGTTAGTGTTTCTCCCATGCACTCTGTTCCCACACTGCTGCATTGTCTCCTTTCTCCCTGGTGACCCACTCTCCATCATTGCATCCCTCCAAGTCGGCTCTCTCAGGTGGGACTCAATCTCACAGCTCTGCCTCCTCCTACCCAGGCCCACATGTTTGGAGCTGCAGGTGTTCAGGGAGTAGCTTGGTCTTGTCTCTGCAGGAGGCTTCACTGAGGGAGAGCTGGAGTGAGATCTGAATGAGCCTGTTCATACCCCATCTTCTCTCAGGGACTGTATGGGAGCTAGTCACGCAACAGGAACAGTGAGATCATAGTGTAAGGGGCAAACCCAGCCTCACTCACTGATAACACAGTGCAGGAGGACTCTGTAGATAGTAGAGCTTGGTGAAGGGGAAATCAGGGCCATGCTGCTCCTAGAGCTAGGGCCAGGTACAAGGTCTGGTCATCAGCTTGTGATAGGACTTCAGCTATAGGGACTGGGAGGATGAGGGAGCCTGCAGGTAGGACAAAGCTAGTTTGAGCAAAGGACAGCTCTAAGCTTAGGAAGATGGTTATACATGACCTGGCAAGGCCTTGAAAGAAGTTAGGACAAATTTGTGAGTCCTGGAGTCCAAGGCAAGGACCAGAAGTGACACTGGGTGAGACTAAAGTGAGGGACTGGAGCTACTGAAGTTCTTCCTGCCTCCTGGGCCACCTCCCAAGGGCAGGTGATGGAGCTGATGGGTTCCTTTGTTCCTCGTGTGAATCAGCTGCAAAGGCTGGACTTACTGCTCTTTTGGGCCACTGACTTCTCTAGGAACAGGTGCCTTCAGGGCCTCAGTACCAGCATGGGAGGACCAGGTCGAGGGGAGGCTCAGTCACCTATTCAGACTGCCATGGGTGGTCTGAGTCACCAGCCATCAGCATGGGAAGGAGCATAGTTGATGCTTGGGGTCTCAGCCAAATGATCCTTTCATCTGGGGTATCACAAGGCATTTGAGAAATATAAAAGGCAAGTATCAAACATCCATCTCTCTGCTAGGTTAAACTCTAATGAGAAAAAATAACCTTCTGTTAAGTCAGAAAACCATTGACTTGAGAACCCATAGGGTTAGCTCAGGCCATAACCTACATGTGAGCAATTAACTTCTAAAGCTTTCCAGATACCACAGACATTCCTTTCTTTCTTCCACATATGCTCACACATTTGACTTGAACTTCATGGGGCTCCTTGATCCCTTGCTGAGAACTTGGGTTTGGCCCTTCTCATTGAATCTTGGAACTAGAGGCCAAAGCTTCTCTCATCTAGGCTAACCTCCTGCCCTTTGGGGAGTGAATGTGTGATCCTTAGCTGTGGGTACTGCCCTGTGCAAGCCCAAACAAGAGTATGATAGCCCAGTCTTCCTTTCCCAGGTCAAATCTATTCTGGCTTCTGTTTGCTGGCCCCAGGAGAGTCTCCCAAAGACTGCTGTTTGTGGGCAAGAAGGAGAGGCAGCAATGGAACACAGCCAGTGTGCAAGGGAGACACCAGGGGACTTGGAGACAGGCTTAGGATAGAAGCAGAGAAAGACTTCAAGAGAACTGGTTGGCTTGTGTGAGAGTGAGAGAGATCCAGTCACAGGCTCACTGATCTGGGCCTCTCCTTTGGCTGTCACAGGGACTTCTTATGTCTACCATGACCATTTCCAGGATGTCAGTGGAGGCTGGCTGATCCCCTGCTGATTTTTCAGACTGAATCTCACTTCTGTCCCTGGTACCCTGTGATTCCAAAGTGAGATCATCCTTGAGCAGGGAGAGTGCTGAGCTTGCGCTCAGTTCCCTTTGCCAGTTATCCTCCGAACCCTCAGGCCAGTGTCTGCCCCAGTCTTATAGATGGGGAGACTGAGGCTGGGGGTGCAATGACTGCCCAAGTTCACACTGTGCACCTTGAGTCCGGAGCTGTGCTCCTCTCTCTCTTCCTCATCACTCTCTGCTGACTGCCCAGCCCCTTACTCCCCTCACCAAACTGTCTGCATCGTGGGGGCATCCAGCCCTACCACCAGGGGAGAGAAAGTTTCTGCTAACCTGAAAACAATCCATGGGAGCAGGCGGGCCCGAGTGCGCCTGCGGAGTTTGGAGCTCCTTCAACTTCACGACTAATTGCAGAGAGGCAGTGGGCGGGCTCTTGGCAAGCGATTAGCTGTCCCACTGCATGAATAATTTGCATAGAAAATGCTTTATTTTGGCAATCTATTAAAGGGCCCACAGTGCTGTGGCTTATCTCGGTCTCACAGCAAGGAGAAGGCTTGGCTATCTCGTTAAGTTCTGTTGATGCATAACAATTTGAAATGGGCACAAGCTAGTATGACATTTAAAGATGCCTTCACTTAATTATATTACACAAACATGGGGTTGTTTATCCTTGGGAATAAAGTCTTTTTGAAGTCAAAGTTGGCATGTGCATAAAGGAGGGCATTTTAACTGATTTTTCAAGAGGGGGCTTGCTCACTTCACACTTGGGGGGCTGCACTCCCCCCCGGGCCTTGTGACATAGAGGGTTCTACAGCTCAGACGCAGACACTGAGATTGGGTCTTTAGTTCTTCTTCTTTGGGGGTGGCCTACAGTTTGGCACTTAATACAATATTGTGGAAAGCAAAGCTTATTAGAGCAAGGAAAAGAGACTTGCTGTGTGACCTTGGGTGATCCCCTCCCTTCCTCTGGGCCTGCACTGCCTCCTGTGCAACACGTGGTGTGGGGCCATCTTGCTCTAAAGCAATGACTGGCAAACCAGTGTGTTTTTGCTTTCTCTTTGCCACTCCCTGCATCAACTCTATCATGAGAAAAACAGCTCCTTTGTTAAAAGGCAGAGAGAGACCCCATCACACTCTGAGGACTGGAAACCTGCTGGAGGGGAGAGGTGGGGAAAACTAGGTGGAGGCTGGCAGCTGCAGCAGGTGTTGGTGCATTTTTGCTCTGCCAAGCCAGAAGGCCCCTGGAGACGACCGAGCCAGCAGCTTTGCCTTCTTTCCTCAAAAACTAGGAGCTGGGTCCCGACTAGAGGAAATGCAAGGGGAGCCCCAGGCCCCCGAGGAGGCCTTGCTTACAGGTGCATGTGGAAAGGCTGGCTCCTCGGGGCGTGGGAGTAGAGACCAGTGCTGCCAGGGAGGAGCTGCCATGGGAGGAGGCATAGGCTCAGGTGGGCTGGCTTCTGGCAGGGCACAGCTCGTGCTCCCTCCTGTGAGGGTGGTGCCCAAGGAGACCCTGCAACAGAAGCTACAGCGTGAAGGAGGGCTTTGTCCAGCTCTCTGTCTTTCAGTCTCTGTGCCTCTCCTGAGTTCAGGCTTTCTGGAAAACAGAGTTTCATCCCAATTGCCACTCCCTTCCTGTTCCTCCAGGACTGAGGACTGCACGCTCCTTTACTTGAAGGCAACACACCCCATGCCTGCCTCTTCCTGCCACCTAAACATGTATCTATATATTGGGGATTAATGGACATATTATCTCTTATTAAGAACAGACACAATTCCCGTCCCATTATGATTTCCTATAAATAAAACTCTCCATTAAAATCATTGAAAGAATATGAATTAGCATTAATAGTTAACTTTATATTTAAATGATATGAATGAGACCCCTTTGATTAAGGCCTAAAATGATGTGAACTCCTAGACACAATGAAGTAGCAGTTAGTTCCTCACAGGCGCTGTGCTAAGTATTTGACATTGATGCCTTTGTGGCTCAAACATGGCAAAGTCCAAATGGTGGCAATTTCCTATGGCTCATCCCATACCTCATTTAATCCCTACCATACCCTTACCATTCTTATTACTGTCTCCATGTTACAAACTATGGAGGAATAAAATAAATTCCCCAAATTACAGAGCAAGTAAGTGGAGCCAGGGTGCCATCCTTTGTAGACCAAGCTCTCTGATTTAATAGGCACCCAACCCTGACACTTTACCTTTTACCAAAATGCACCCTTAAGCACATCACATGTTTTGTGTATATGGTTAAATTGAACCTGCTACATATTATGTGCTCAATTAATGTCTGGTAAATAAATGGATGCATGAAAGATTGACTTCGGGTGCCTGAGGCTTTGAATGTTGTACAGAACAGGCTGACTGGATACTGCTGAGCCGGGGCCTGAGGCACCTCATATTCACTCCTTCCAGCATGACCTCCTCACACTAGCTGTGTTTCCAGAGACCAATATGGGGCCAGGAATGGCTGGAGGAGTGGAGGGAGGGAGCAAGATAGATCCAGGGGCTGCATGGCTGTCGAAGCAGAGCACTAGGAAGGATGGCCATTTGGAGGAGCAGAGGAAGGGAGAACAAGAAGAATTGTCCTGCCATGAGCCACTATGTCCCGCCCACCCCCCACCCTCCCAGCCCCGTATGGGGCCACAATGTCACTCGTGATTAAAAGGGCAGCCCATGAGCTGCGGGTGGCCCCAGCTATGTGTGAACTCATGCTCTGGTGCTGCAGCCTGACTCCTGGTGTCATGCGCAGGTGTGACGGGGGTTCAAAGGCAGCACATCTAGCCACTGTGGCCTGTTGTTAGGCTGGGAGAGGGAGCACCTTCCTGCAACCGGATTGCCCCTCCTCCATGCATTCCAGCTGCAAACAGGCTAGAAATGTCCACTAACATCAGGTAGTCCTTGTTGATGAGCACTTGGAGTCTTCTGAGCCCCACGTCTGTTCTCTGTGCTGAGATCAAATTTGCCTTCTCATAGCCACCTAAAGCTATAGATTCTTCTCTTACCCTCACAGTGCCTTGTGGTGGTACCTACGGAACTGAGATTGGGCACTCTCAAAAATATTTATTTATTTGAAGGGCCAAGTTATGGAGTAAGAGAGCCAGGGAGAGACAGAGGAAAGAGATCTTCCATTTGCTGGTTCACGCCCCCAAATGACTGCAATGGTTGGGGCTGGGCTGGCCTGAAGCCAGGAGCTAAGAACTCTGTCCAAGCCTTTCACGTGGGTGGTTGGGGTCCAAATACTTGGGCCATCATTTTCTGCTCTCCCAGACACATTAGCAGGGAGCTGGATCAGAAGCAGAATAGCTGGGACTCTAACCAGTGCTGGGATATGGGATGCCAGTGCTGCAGGTAGTGGCTTGACCTACTGTAGCACAATGCCAGCCCTGGTTGGGCATTCTTAGTGTCTGGCCGTAGAAGGAAGGAAAGGCACATAGGCATTCATGGCAATTCCAGAGGGGGGGAACCCCATGATCCCATTCATGATATGAAGTCAGTGGGTGGACTGTCATTGATAGGATTATTAATTTTTGACCAAACATATCTAAGAAATTGAAAACTATAAAATGACACACAGATGCACAATAATGGAATCATTTCTGATAACAGGAAATGAATGTCAGTAGCATAATTGTTGCCTTCAGTCTTTCAGTCTTGAGTGCTATTTCCAAAAAGGAGTGACTGATTAGCAGAGGCGGCCCTGAACCTCTGCCATACTGCACACAGCAGTGCTAACCGTCTGTGTTGATGGGGGTCCTGGGGAGGCACTTGGTGAAACTGGAAACCTGGGATTCCAGAGGCTGAGCAGATGGGTACAAAACAAGGAACTGCTGGTCCCTGGAAAACAGCAGGTAAGGGAGAGCTGTACTTCCCTTGGGCCTGAAACCTCCAGATCTGGGTCGCGTCTGAAGATCTTCTGGAGAAGGAAATGCAGTGCCAGTCAATGACTTACTCAGCATCCCTGTGACGCCTTGCTGGACCTGTTGAGAAGAATCTCCCACGTGCTTGATCCTTGAAGCGCTTGGACATGTTCTTGGTTAAAATCTTTTTTTTAAGATTTATTTATTTATTCGGAAGCCAGAGTTACAGAGAAGCAGAGCCAGAGAGAGATAGAGATAGAGATAGAGAGAGAGAGATCTTCCATCCACTGGTTCACTCCTCAGATGGCTGCAATGACTGGAGCTAGGCCTATCTGAAGCCAGGAGCCAGGAGCCTCTTCTGGGTCTCCTATGCATCCCAGGCCATAGCAAATATCTGAATCAGAAGTGGAGTAACCAGGACTCAAACCCATGCCCATATGGGATGCTGGCACTGCAGGTAGAGGCTTTACCTGCTACGCCACAGTGCCAGCCCCTGGTTAAAATCTTTTTTTTATAAAGATTTATTTTTTATTTGAAAGGCAGAGTTACACAGAGAGAGGAAAACAGAGGGAGACACACAAACACAGCACAACACACACACACACACACACACAGAATCTTCCATCTTCTGGTTCACTCTCCAAATTGCCACAACAACCAGGGTGGGTCAGAAGGAAGCCAGGAGACTCTTCTGGTTTCACACATGGGTGCAGGGGCCCCAGCACTTGAGCCATGTTCTGCTGCTTTCCCAGGTGCATTAGCAGGGAGCTGGATCTGAAGTGGAGCAGCTGGGACTCAAACCAGCACCTGTATGGAGTACCAGCATAGCTGTGGTGCTTTTCCCATTATGCCTCAATGCCGGCCCCTGTTAAAATCTTATCTCTGATGTCACACTTGGTATCATCTCACAGTCCAACCCCCCATGCACCATGTGTGATGATCTCTTTCAATTCATCAGCCCATTTGATCTTGCAGTAACTTACAAGGACAGAGATAATTATCCCCAGAGGAAACTGAAGTTAAGTGACATTCTTAAGCTCACCCAACAAGTCAGTGCTGATGAAGGAACCGGCATACCAATGTTTAATTTCTACCTCAGAATTCTTCCAATAAAAGCACACCCCTGCCAGGGATGGGGTAGGAGGAAAGGAGAGCTCTGTCTGTACCATGATTGATCCAGTTTGATAGCAAGAGGTAAACTCAGCTGACCTTTGGGACCTGCTCAGAGAGCATGATTTTCTTGAAGCCTAGGTATAAAACAGACTGATCTGGATATAAGAAAGCAACAAAAGGGCAGTTCGTCTTCCAGACATGCCCAGAGTTATTTATCATTCATTCATTCAGTATTAACTGAGATCCTACTGTGCTGTCACAGTCCCCGCATTTGCCCTTTTCTTCCTCCCACCCTCAGTATAGCCCCTGCAACCCGGGAAGCAAAGGCAGGACTGGGGAACCATGCACGGCTCAGTGCAAGTGTCAAGGAGAGGGATGGGCCAAAGGAAAGGGGGAGCCCCATCTACTTCCTCCGTTCCTGGGAACATCCTCACTTCCTTTAGGAGAATGCAGGAAAGCCTGGTCTCAACTTATCCATGCAGAGAGTTGGTGGCCCCCATTAGACCCATATGGCATTCAAAGGCCTGGCGGGATCAGCTGGACATCCTAGTGCTGCTTAAAGAAGTCTCCTAGGTCTGCTCTTCCCTTTGCCGTCCTCATTCTTTCCTGCAATCTCGTTTCCTATGATCAACTCTCGCTCCATGCCTCAAACTCTGATAGTACCTTTACCCTTTTGGATGTCAAATTCTGGGTGTTCCTAGTGCATGAAATTTGACTTTTCCTCAAATGGGATCAAATTTGGGTTACCCCTGTTTTGCCTTAGATAGGAGCCCACACATGGCCCAGACCTTCATGTCAGCCATGTGGCTGTGTCTCTGTAGGCCAGACCTAGGCAGACAGTGGGTGTGGGTGTAACTTCTAAGGGGCTCACCTGGGAGGGGAAGGGAAAGCTGCAGTTTGAGGACTATTCAGTCAGTCCAACAGTGCAGGCGAGGTCGCAGTTTGTTATTGATAGAGAAGAACATCAAAGGTGGTTCCACGTGAAGGTTTCTATTCCTTGAACTTTTTCTTTAATATTTTATTTATCTGTTTGGAAGGTAGAGTTATAGAAGAGAGAAGGAGAGACAGAGAGGAAGGTCTTCCATCTGCTGGCTCACTCCCCAAATGGCCACAACAGCTAGGGATAGGCTGTGCTGAAACCAGGAGTCAGGAGCTTCATCAGGGCCTCCCACATGGGTGCAGGGGCCCAAGCACGTGGGCTGTCTTCCATTGCTTTCCCAGGCCATTAGCAGAGAGCTGGGTTGGAAGAGGGGCTGCTGAGACATGAACCACGCCCATGTGAGATGCTAGCGCTGCAGGTGGAGGCTTTACCCACTATACCACAATGCTGGACCCTCGAGTGTTTCTTATAACTTTAATAATAATAATAATAATACAAAAGTTACATTGTGCTAATTCTGATGCTGTGATGCTGGCCAAAATAGGTCTTTATGTTTCCCACATGCTTTTGTGGAGCCTTAAGCTAGCATGTGAACAGGTCCAGGCTAGCTTCCTGATGAGAGACAGGTACACTGTTGCCCCCCTGCTGTCAACTGATAACCAGCCAAGTTCCTGAAGCAGAACTGTGAACTCATGGATGACGCCATCCTGGATCATCCTGCCCCCAGCTGAGCTTCCAGGTGAAGGCAGACACATGAAGAAGCTTAGCTTAAATCAACCAAACCAGACTCAAAATAACAGAACCACCCAGCCGGTCTGTGGACTCATAAATGCCGTTCTAAGCTACTGATTTGGGGGAGGGTTTGCTTGGCAGCAAGATCTAGCAGATACAGGGTGAAATGAAGAGATGGGAGATGTGTTGTCTTAGGCAATGAGAAGATTGCATGCTAACTGTAGTGTCTGACATGTCGCAGGCCCCTTCTGTCAAAGGCACCCCATTACCCCTCCCTCTAGGTTGATGCAGCCCCACACAGAGGTGCTTGACTTTCCAGGGAGCACCGATGAGACACAGTCCCTGCCTTCCGCCTCAGTAGAGCCCCCTCGTGCAGGCATAAATTGTTCAACTGCAAGCAGCTTGCTTGCACCCAGAAAAGAGTCCTTTTAAGCCAGTAAGTGCTGTACTATGCTGCTTCCCACCACTGCTAATTGAATGAGAACTTGGTATCTGACCAGGAGAAGGCAAATCATACCCTTTTATTTGGTAATTGGTATTATAAAATGTGGCGAGTAGCACTGAATTGCAAAACAAGGTAAAAAAATAACCTAGAAAGGTCTTGCAGTAGAATATGGGGTCATGGATCTTGAGGGCTGTGGTGAGCTGGCATTGAGAGAAAGTGAGTAAAGCGCCCTGGACACAGCATGTGGAGGGTTGAGGGAAGGCAGTGGAAGCTGCGGGGGTGGCCGACACAAGGGGCGTGGCTGTTGTTTTAATGACAGATAATTGCAGAAGGAGTGTGAGCACCTGCCCGGAGGCCTTCTGGCCACCAGGGGTCTGTTAGCAGCTCCTTGGCTCTCAAGAGCCCATGTGAACGCAGTGGAGGATGGCCCAAGTTCTTGGGCCCTGCACCCATGTAGGAGACCCAAGAGAAGCTCCTTGCTCCTGGCTCCTGGCTTCAGATCAGCCCAACTCCAGTCACTGTGGCCATTTGGGGAGTGAACCAGCAGATAGAAAACGTCTGGCTCTGTCTCTCCCTCTCTCTCTGTCTGTAATTCTGCCTCTCAAATAAATAAATCTAAAAAAAAAAGACCCCGTATAATTTGGATCTTTTCCTTGGGTTACTGAAAAACTGGGACTTCCTGCGTCTCTGCCTCCCTTCCCTGGGTTGACCGGACACTAGCGACCCCTTGGTAAACCAGAGCTTATTG